CATCTTGTCTATAGAATCGACATCCGGCCAAGAAAACGGCCAAAGCAACGATGTTAGCTGCAAAACATATGGCATACCCAAGAGCCCAGCTAAGGCTGTCCTCAACATAGACAACCGCAGTGGAACTTATTATGCAAGATGCAAAAACAGTGAAGAAGAACCAATTGAAGAAAGTTTCTTTATCTTTAGGCATATCGAGTTGATTTGCTCCCATTGTGGCGAGTGTATATTGACTCCCTCCCAGCCCTACAGACGCCATTGTTATACTTAAATATATAACAGCATACTGTAGTTTTGATGGAGTTCTGCACAAGCTTGAACCGGTCTCACATGGTGGAGGTCCAAGAGAGCTTAGTTTTGCTGTTAAAGTCAGCAAAATGATCCCCTGGGAAAAGCTTAAAACTTGATCAATGAAGTTACTTAAAACCAGAAAAGAATGGAACATAAGAAGACCAGTATACCAGTGTGGAGATAAAGCTAGAAATTGCAACAGGGAAAATTCCCTAGAATGAATCAGCAATGATTGCTCCAAGGATCGGAATCAAGTTTATACAACCATGAACAACGTTGGAAATTTGAGTGGCATTAATGCTCTCCAAGTTGAATTCCTCGACCAGATAGACGATAAGGTTCGCCAACCATCCGAAACCAGACAACATCACTCCCGACACCGTCCCTGCTTAGTGCATCTCCAAACAAAACACAAAGGTTAGTCCCAACCTGTAACATACCGTTTGAAGTCGAAGAACAAAACGCACACAATATCTAACATATTCGACAGTCACACCCGAGTCGAGAGAGAGAGAGAGAGTCCTGTAATGAAGAATAAGGTTATGAAACCACCATTTTTTGTCATGGAAGGTGACATTTTAGCTTCGATATCAGCAGGGACCACCATAGACTGAGTGGTTTCTGCCATCAATGGCTGTTGTTGAAGAGTTTGTTATGTGGCATTCAGTTTATAGGCAGAGAAATGGTGGTGTGTTATCATATCCTTTGAATGTGGTGGCTCACAAACTGCCTGTGCTTGTGTCTCCCTCTTAGCATCAAGGCCAAACGATAAGGTAGCAGCCTGCAGCAGATAAAAGCATTAAACAAAATATAAACGAATTAAAATTTGGCTGTGGGATCAGTTTCCTCCAATAATCAGTAAAAGCCGACGCTGCCAAGTAATTGCCACCCACGGACACAACAGTTGAATATTTCCTATGTTAGTCCTATTCTTTTTCTTTTAGCTGTTAAATATTTCCTACAACAGTTAAATATTTTGAATAAAATCAAAATAAAAAGTTTCAGAGGGCTAAAACAAAAGTTTAGCCTAAAGTAATACAAATATAAAAAGAAAAGGACCCGCCTGTCGCAGCCTTCACTCTATACTCCGTTGTATGTGAGAATCTTTATTTATTTATTTGGACATTGAAAATGAGATCGTGAAGTTTTATTTAGATAAATAACTTTGTTTTGTCTCATGCTTGCCTAAGTTTCTGCCTTTCTTTTCTTTATTTGGTAATTCACGTCCAATTTCTCTATTATTTAAAGAAAAATATCAATTTATTAAATAAGAATAACTAAAAAATTTATCATAAAATCCATTTTATTATCCAAATAAAATTATATAAAATTGTCAACTCGAAGGTCGATATCGTGACCTTATTGATGGTCCAACGACCTATCACTTGATGCAATAAGCGTGTCATCAACTTCAGAAAGATAAGTTTATCTATCACCAACTAACAATGAATAAAAATCTTGATCCTGTATATTAAAAACATGTGGAATAAAAGGTGTAAAATTTATGCTGTAGATTTATATTTAGTGTATTAATAGTGTGTAAATTATAAATTATTAGTTGTGTAACTGTTATATGTTAACAAATTAATTGTTTATATTTTATTTTTTTAAAATTGTATATAAAAATATGTTTTTATATTATTTCTTCTAATTTAATTTTTTTATTAAAATAATGTCACAAATTAATTCGTTATCAACTTAATTTGGAAGAGACGAATACACCCTTGAGGGAAAAGGCCCCACTTGAGTCGAACCAAAAGTCTGGAAAATAGAGAGGCAGAAATGACAAAAGATCACCCACAACCAACACAACATGTAACCGTTTTTGGTGCATTGTAATCTGAAGTCGGAGCATTCAAATATCATAGACAGAACAGAATTATCAAGAAGGAAACGAATCGGTAATAGCATGCTGAGAGGTCACGTAGCTGCAGTAATGCGGATCATACATAAGCATTATCCAACTAGAAAGCCAAGTTAAAAGGCAAAATGATCCGCTATTTTGGAGGAAATTGTATATTATTTATCGAGAAAATGCTCGAGTTCCATCAGAAATCTCCACAAAATCCATTCAACAAATTAAAACTGCAAATACCCAGATTCTTCAAGCAACAACTGCCTATTAACTAAACTTCTTTGAGATTACAAAACCCAATACATTTTGGAGGCAAAAGTTGTTGGCTTCACCCTGTTCCGCAACCACCAGCTTATGCATCAGCAAATCTGCAAGACGAAATAGAAACCATCAGTTAAAAAGAATAGGAGCGAAGCTGCAGAACATAATTCAAGTAGCAAAAGTTACCCTAGCTCAGAGAGCTTCAGGTGAGCTTCAGCATAGTCGGAGAAGAAGGCATCCTCATCCTGCAAATAGGTGAAAACCATCAATAAATAAACAAAATTTAACTTCTGAACAGCAGATTTATCAACTGAAATGAAGGGAAAAATTACGTACAGCTGCATATTTATCAACCAATGGACGAAAAGCAGGGTCGGAAAGGAGAACTTTGTCCGTTGGTAGCTGAAGAAGGCCTTCCTTCTCCCCAGACAAGAGTTCCCTATAAAAAATGTAACCGAATTAGCATCAAGTTTACAGATTTCAGATTTGTACTCCCAACAAATGAAGAAAAATGCATGACCCGTAAAAGGAGAAACTCACTTGAAGTAAGAGTTGTCAAAGATGAGAGGGTTGGTAGTCCATGGTCCCTCAAATCCAGACCTTTCCTTGTGACACCTTCCCTATATCAAAGACAAAAAAAAACATAAAATCATTAAACGGATACACAAATAACAAACACATCAAGCTCAAAGAAAATATTGGAATTTGAAGTTTATTTACCAGGGTGTGGCCACCAGAAAGAGCTACAATATCCTGGTCACTGAGACCCATTTGAGCACCAAAGACCTGCCTCAAATGATCAGCTCCTGCAAGATATTCATCACAGGGATTAAATTGAAATCATCAACTAAATCAAAGCAATCAATCTTATTCTCAATATAAACAAAGGCAATTCGCAATAAATAGTACACACTAACCCTTGGTAGCATCAGGAAGACGGCCCTCAGGTGGTGGGTGAGGCTTGTCCTGGAATTTTTCACAAAAGGAGTACCAGTATTAACAATGTCAAAGATTAAAAGTTGTTTAAGTTCTTGTTCTAAACGATGGAAACTAACTACAGCTTCTATAAATCTAACCGTTTTGAAATGTGAAAGGGACAATAATTACAAAGGCAATTACCCTCTGCAAATGAAAAACGTACATTTGCTTTCATTGAAATCAGTTGATATAAACTTAAGTTTGCATTCAGGAAACAAGCAAGATCCCGTGGTCAAGCCGTGAACATGTAAAATTGCATTAACGTGTTTCTTAAAATTGACAGTTAAAGAAACAATAACACTGTAGCAGTTGACTTGACTGACCTCTCTTCCGGGGTGGAATGGAATTTCAGGTCCACCAGTAATCCCAACGGCGACGACACCAGCAAGCTACAAATTATCCAAACAAAAAAGGGGGGAACCAAAATCGGTCAAATTACACATAAACCTAATAAATCTGGAGGAAGAAAAGATCGATTAAAACTAAAACCTGATAGAAGTCGGCGTAGGAGAGAATAGGGAGCTGCTCCTTGATCGGCTCGAGAAGTCTGACGGCGATATCAAGGCCGTTGTTAGCACCATGTGCGAGCTCGGTAGGTTGCTTCATGGTTCCAAATGGACCACCGGTCTTAGTCTTGACGTCAAAAGTTCCGGCTGAGTGCCATCTGTCATCCACGATCACCGTCCGATCCATCAACATCATCAATCTCAAAATCAAAACTGCAGATCAGACGACAAATAAAAGAGGAGAAGCTTACGCTAGACGGAGCATGAGTGGGGCACAGTTCTTCTCAGCGATGAGACCTCTGAGCTTCCTCTTAGCCTTTTCAACTGCCTTCTGATATTCCTCGCTCACAGTTGGGTAACACTTCGTCATTTTCTCTGTTTTTTTAACGAAAACAGATTCATATTAACAAAATGAGAAAATTCAAATCAAACACGAAAAATCTCAAAATTTAGATCCGAACCCAAATCGACAATAACCTTCTTGTGCAGTAACAGCTAGAGTAATGAATTGAAAGAAAGATGAAACACCTTTTAAACCACGTAATGGACACGAGCTGAGCACAAGCACACTTTCATGGAAGGGAAAGATATAAAAGAGGGGGAAGGTTCTAATAGATTAATATCAGCCGCTGGATTGAGTTATGATCTTGTGGTTCATGTCTGCTTTAGGAATAACGTCCTTGATCTGGGTTGAATATTCATGTTGTGCCGCTGATTAAAGAAATTAATTGTGCCTGTTTTCATTTTTGAATAAAATCATTGTAGTCAAAATTTTGTCATAACATTTTGGGAGAAAAAAGACCTGCGGAATATCATTAAAATGACAAATTTATCCCTATAAAGATGAAAAATGCTCTCCTTTGTATTTTTCTCAAAATATGTTATGTTTAGGTAAGAAAATATTAAGAATTTAGAAGAATAAGGAAAGGGAATTCAGAATTTTCATTAGATATTTTTTAAGATTTTCCAGTACACTCCATTTTGTTTTATGTTGTACATTGTACTATTTCCGTTACTTCCTCCAATTGCATTGGATTTGCTTACCACCAGATCAGCCTTAGTTAATTCAGTGGGTCAGCTTGCTCTAAGCCCATTTCCTCAACACTAAGTCATGTGTCGTTTTGACTGCACATTCCTTCAACCGGTTCTTTAATCCCCAATTCTTTAATTTCCACCTCTTTTAGCCCTAATTTCATCGTACTCACTTCCAATTCCTTTTCTATCTTCGATTTCTCCGTCCCAACCATGACATTACCCTCCCCAGCAGTAGATCCTTGACCCCAAGGATCAAAATCAGGAAATTGAGACTTCAAGGCGGAATAATCCTCCCAAGTTGCATTCTCCGGTGACAAATTCGACCACTGAATAAGCAACTGAGTCACCGGCCGATTTTGACACTTCACACTCTGTTTGTCAAGAACAATAGCTGGATAAATTTTCAATTGTCCATCATCCCCTACCTCTGGAGGATCGAGAGAGGTAAGCATATTCGACCCAATCTTTTTCTTTAATAAACTCACATGAAAAACTAGGTGAATTTTGGAATGTGGAGGCAACCGAAGTCTGTAAGCAACTAAACCAATTTTTTCAATGATTTTGTAAGGACCAAAATATCTGGCAGAAAGCTTCAAGTTCTTTCTCAGGGCCAATGTAATTTGTCTATACGGTTGTAATTTCAGGTAAACATCATCTCCCACATGGAATTCTCGTTCAGTACGATGTTTATCTGCTTGCTGTTTCATTCGATTCTGAGCTAGCAATAAATTCTCCTTTAAAATTCTATTCAATTATGTTCTGTGTTGCATGATCTCATGAACTGTTTGTACTGGAGTAGTAGTCTGCTGTTGTAATAATGGGGCTTCATAGCCATATAGTGCTTGAAATGGTGTTGTGCCAATGGCAGTGTGGAAATTGGTGTTGTACCACCACTCTGCCTGAGGTAGCCACCTCGCCCATTCTTTTGGCTTCAAAAAATATAGACTGCGTAGGTACTGCTCCAAGCACTGATTAACTCTTTCCGTTTGGCCATCTGTTTCCGGATGGAAGGCAATACTGAATAGGGTAGATATCCCCAATTATTTTAGAAACTCTTTCCAAATCAAACTTGTAAAGATTTTGTCTCTGTCCGATATTGCAATTTGAGGCTGACCATGAAGTCGATAAATGTTATCTAGAAATTTTCGAGCCACTTCCACAACAGTACATGGATGAGAAAGGGATATAAAGGGATAAATTTATCAACAACCACTAGAATCGTATTAAACTTAGATGAAGTAGGAAGCCCTTCAATAAAGGTCATAGTAATAACAGTCCAAGCTTGAGTAGGAATACGAAGGGGTTGCAATAGACCTGGTGGAGAAATATGCTCACTCTTCGTTCGTTGGCAGATATCACATTGTTGCACATGAGTAAGAATCATAGATTTTAGCCCAGGCCAATAAAAATAACTCTTGATACGTTGCTAAGTAGCTTGACCACCCGAATGTCCACCCAAGGGAAAATCATGAAAAGTTCTAAGTAATTCTTGCCTCAATGTACCACTAGTCCCAACATATATTTTTCCCCGAAATCGAAGCACTCCTCGAATATATGACCATTGTTAAGGTCCTATAGTTCGTATGGAAAGGTTTGTAATAACTATTTTAGCCAAATCATCATCAATATAGGTAGCTTCAATTTCTTGCACCCAAGCAGGTGTAATCATAGTGGCGGTGAGTGTATTAAATTCAGACTCCTCTTCAAAACATCTTGATAAAGCATCAGCCACCTTGTTTGAACTTCCTTTTCTGAATTTAATTGTATAATCGAGTCCAAGAAGTTTAATAAGGCCTCGTTTCTAGATCGTCGTTGTTAATTTATGTTCCAATAAATGTTTGAGTGGCTCATGATCAGTTTTGATAATAAATGGTCGAGCTTCCAAATAATGTCTCCATTTAGTAACAACCATCAAAATTGCCAAATATTCCTTCTCATAGATGGACATATTTGCATGTCAAACTCCTAATGCTTTACTAAGATAAGCTATAGGACGACATTCCTGAGACAAGGCAACTCCAATACCACGAGAACTTGCGTCAGTCTCTAAACAAAAACTCTTTGAAAATCTGGCAAAGCTAAGACAGGGGCTCTGCACATAACATCCTTTAATAGCTCAAAAGCTTCCTTAGTAGCTGCAGACCAAAGAAAATTTTCCTTTTTCAGCATATTGGTGAGAGGTCGGCTAAGCTCTCCATAGTTCTTAATAATTTTTTTGTAGTAGCCAGTCAACCCCAAAAATCCACGCAAAGATTTTAAATTTTTAGGAAGCTGTCAATTTCTCATTGCCTCCACTTTAGATGGGCTTGTGGCAACCCCATTAGAAGAAATAATATGCCCCAAGTATTCAACCTACTGTTGTCCAAAAAAACACTTTTCCCTCATTGTAAAAAGCTGATTAGTTTTAAGAATTTGCAGAACCAATTCCAAGTGATGCATATGGTCCTCTAAAGAAGGACTATAAATTAAAATATCATCAAAAAATACCAAAACGAACTTCCACAAATATTGTCCAAAGATATCATTCATTAAAGATTGAAATGTGGCTGGTGCATTTGTTAGGCCGAATGGCATTACCTTAAACTCAAAGTGGTCGTGATGAGCTCGAAATGCTGTCTTATGGACATCCTCTTTCTTGATGAGGATCTGCCAATATCCCGACCGTAAATCAATTTTTGAAAAAAAATGTTGACTCTGTCAACTCATCCAAAAGATTCTCAACTACAAGAATAGGAAATTTGTTCTTGATTGTCCATTGGTTGAGTTGTCGATAATCGACACAAAACCTCCAAGTACCATCCTTCTTCTTAACCATCAAACATGGAGAAGCAAACAGACTCTTACTGGTCTGGATAATAGAAGCAGCCAATAATTCATTAACCTGTTTTTCGACCTCAGATTTCTGCTGATAAGGAAAACGATATGGTCTCAAATTAATTGGTGGAGCATCAGCTTTAAGAATAATAGATCATGGTTTCGAACCGGAGGTAGTCCTTTTGGTTCATCAAAAACTTGCTGATAAGCTTCCAGTAAGGGCTGAAGAATAAGTGGAACTTCCTGATAATCAACTTCTGCACTTAACTAATAGAATTCTCCAATAACCTCGGTTTGTTTTGAGGTCAATTCCTGCATCTTGTCTCCCGAAATCATCTTAACAGAAGGAATTCGATGACCACCTTGCAATGAAATAAGATTCCCATCTTTCTTGAAAGTTAATGTCATCTCATTGAAATCCAAGGTAATAGAGCTGAATTTCTTCATCCAATCAACCCCTAAAACCATATCACTTCCCCCCATTTGTAGTACTCTGAAATCATGTACAAAGCCATATCCTTGCATATGCCATGTAAACTGATTACTTCTCGTTGTACTGTGAAGTCGTTCCCCACTAGCCACAGTGATGACTAAAGGGTCAGTTTGTACTACCTCCATTCCTTCCTTTGCCCATCATGGAGTAATAAAGCTATGGGTACTCCCACTATCCACCAAGATATTCAAAAGTTTAGTATTAACAGTACCTTGTATTCTAATGGTGTTGTGACCAGCAGTACCATTTAGAGCATTAATGGAGATTTCTAGAGCTCCATCATCATGTTCACTCTCTTGTAATAGTTATTGTTGTATGTGATTGTCTTGATTTAAAGGAGGAACATCAGAGTCGTGGCCTTCATCCTCCTCCATCATGTTCAATTGTTTCTGTTTACATTGATGCCTAGGGCCATATTTGTCTCCACATTTAAAACAGAGTCCATTAGCTCTTTGATAATCCACCAACTGTTGTTTAGCATTGGTTTGAGGTTGCAAAAGTCTAGGGTTCATCATCAGAGAAATCCCTTGAATTCTCGTAGGTGGCAGAACAGAATTCGACTTAAAAACGGGTCACCCTTTTCTATTTTCAACTTCCATGGATAACTCATATATCTTAGCCTTTCTACCAGCTTCAATAATTGTTTTAGGCTCAAGAACTTTAACTTTGTGCTTGAGCTCGTCTTTCAACCCACTCAAAAAGCAAGAAACAAAGTACTCCTCCCCCAATCCAAGATTAATTTAAAGAATAAAAGGTTGAAGTTCTTCAAATTTATCCTCATACTCTTCCACAGAAGACGTTTGAGTTAATTTGTTAAACTCATCTATAACATCAATATACCCTTTATCATAAAACCTGTGGGTAATGTCTGCCACGAATTCATGCCAAGAGACTCGATTTTTCTTCGTAACATAGCCATCAAACCAAATCTCAGCCCTACCGGTTAGATACATAGCAGCCACTTCCAGCTTCTGACTGTCCGGTATAGAAAATATAGAAAAATATTTGTCACACTTCCGCACCCAACTCCTTGGGTTACAGCCATAAAAAATGGAAGTTCTATTTTTGGTCTAGGAGTAAACATATCCATATTATTGGATGTATGGCTTTGTTCCATTAATTTAGAATATTTGAGGACAAATGGTTCCCCAAGTGCTGGTGGATTTCCCCCTAATTTCAATTTATGCACTGTAGAAGGTACCTTCGAGTTATCTCCAGGAAATATAGGTTTTGAAGCTAAAATCCCAGGTTCCATCGATTGAAATGAATATTTCTCTCGGTCATCAATAACAGTTACTTGTATAGGTGTTTTTCCGATTACCTGTGGCTGAGTTTTTGTCATATTGTTTTGATTTGTTGCAGGTGAAGATTGACCCGATTCATCTCCAGCTTTCTGCATTAGACTCAAGAGTTGTTGCAAATAACCATTAGTCTCATTCATTGTCTTCTCCAAAGATTCCAATCGTTGCTCTCATTCCAGTTTTTGGTTGACCCACCAAACAGAAACTTCTGCATTGAGAGAGCCGTCAGGATCATCCATGGTATCTTTGGTTTGCTCGGTCTGTCCCATCTTCTGCGTCTTCTTAGTCTTTCCCAGCTTGAAAAAAAATTGGATCAAATTTAGCCTAGCTTTGAATACCAATTGTTATGTTTAGGTCAGAAAGGATTAAGAATTTAGAAGAAGAAGGAAAAGGAATTCAGAATTTTCATTAGATATTTTTCTAGATTTTCCAGTACACTCCATTATGTTTTATGTTGTACATTGTACCATTTCCGTTACTTCCTCCAACTGCATTGGATTTGCTTACCACCAGATCAGCCTTAGTTAATTCAGTGGGTCAGCTTACTCTAAGCCCATTTCCTCAACATTAAGTCCTGTGTCGTTTTGACTGCACATTCCTTCAACCGGTTCTTTAATCCCCAATTCTTTAATTTCCACCTCTTTTAGCCCTAATTTCATCGTACTCACTTCCAATTCCTTTTCTATCTTTGATTTCTCCGTCCCAACCATGACAAAATAATTCATTCTTCCATTTCTAATATCAAAACTCCGTTTGAATTAAAAATTGGCGCATCTCTATTGGGATATAATGTTTTTTAAAAGAATATTAGGTAATAATATTAATTATAAAATTTAAAAATATTATTATAAAAAACAGCACTAACCAAATTACTTTAATGGTTAAAGAGATGTTTGTTATTCCTATAAATCTCGGGTTCAAGCACCAACGATCGTAGAGTATTCGGATATTCATTACTAAATGATTGAGAGCCTTTAGAACATATACTATCACTTGTAATCATCTTATATTAATAAAAAAAAATCATAAACTTTCATAATATTATTATAAAAATAATTATAAATTTTTAAAAATTAATCTTTATAATCATAAAACAAAT